AGTCAAAGATCTTGACACTTCATTGTTATTTTCTAATGAAAACTTTAAGATAAAATCTTTATTAAGTCTCTAGAAAAGCTATTAAGTACCCAACAAACCCTGAGAAGTTTACATGGTATAGCGAGGGTTGTGAGTGGATGAAGGGGAAGGGAGCTTGAATCATTTAATTAGATTTCAGAAACATAGCGAATGACAGACATCTCAGTAATGTCATTTCAAACTAAAAACGTAGAAATCACAAATTTTGCAGACTTCAGATATGTCTCATGTAGAGTAGATTTAGGGTTAACGAAATCATTAGGTACTATTTATGGAATGTATGATTTCCAAGCATTTTAATCTTGTTAGCAGCTGCCGATTGCTCTTCAATCCAGCCTGGTCGGGAAGAAAGGGCGCGTTCAATTGTATGGTGAAATCGGACATATGCCTGAAAGTGCATTTTGAAAGACAAAGTTCCATACGAAATTGAAGGGCTGGCTCTGATTAGACTGGCAATCGAAGACCTTTACAGGCTAGACCGTTTTTCGATTCAAAATTCTAATTTTGCTTGAGCTGCCGTTGCGTCATTACACCCGCTTATTAGTATTCATTTCGATTGTAATTTATGACAGGGTTAGGAAGAAAGTATAGGCATAAATCAAATCCCAATGTTCCAACTTCACGAGGTTTTCCTAAAAGTTGGAAGTTTTAGTTTTGAGCTCAAACTCAAGGTGCTTGCCTAAATTCAATGTTACCTCAATGTCACTCTCTTAATGATTTTTCTTGGAAAGAATAAGGAATTTGTAATGAAAGAATTATCAATTCTATCTTCAAAATAATTCCAGTCGTAGTAGTGAAACATGGTCTATGATTAACAATCTTATGCTATGAGAAAACGTTAGTATACATAACGCACCTCTGCAAAAGCATCTTCGACACGCACAGTGAGAATGAGGCGACAAAGTATAGCATGCGGTTCATCATAATCCTCAATAGGCTCCCCAAGAATTGCATAACATTCTTTTGGCTAGAAGAGGTTTCTCGTAATTTTAAGCAGGAGATCCCTAATCGGAAAAAAAAACGCTCACCCATTCATCGTCACTGACAAGAAGGCAGCATAAGCGCATCACAACACCGGCAAGAAGTGTTGGCCGTAACATGGCTAATTCCATCTGGCAACAAGCCAGTTGGCTAGCAATCTTAGCAAATTTCCATTGCCATGAGTGTCGCTGAAGTGGTAAAATTTCAGATATGTGTGGAACAAATTCTGTAGCATGTCAAGGTTATAGTATTCTAACCGATTAAAGTTGATGTAGAAATCTTTTCTTAAGACCGCTTAAATCCGAAATGTGTAGAGCTTTGATTTTT